CGGTTCCTTCCCAGGTCCTCCATGGCCGCATGTGCGGCTCCTCAGTCGCCCATGCGGGCTCGCACCTGCGGCTCCCACTCCGCAGGTGCGTTTATGACAGCTGAGTTCAATCTTCAGCAGCTTTCCAAGTTCCAAACTTGTTTCGTTAATCACCCAAAACTCATCTGAAGCCCTCGGGACCTCAACCAAACATAACAACATATCCCATAACATCATACAAACATGGTCGAACCTTCGAATCACTTAAAACAACATCGAAGTACCAAATTACACTCGGATTCAAGCCTAAGAACTTCTAAACTTCTGAATTCCACAAACGATGCTGAAACCCGCTAAACCACATCCGAATGACCTCAAATATTGCACACGAGTCAAAAGTGACACCACGAACCTATTCCAACCTCCGGAATTCCATTCCAACCCGAATATCAAAATTTCCACTGACGACCAAAATTGCCAAAATTTTAACTTTCGCCAATTCAAGCCTAATTCTACCACGGGTCTCCAAATCACATTCCGAACGCACTCCCAATTCCAAAATCACCTAACGGAGCTAACAGAACCATAAAAATTCAAATCCGATATCTTTTACATATAAGTCAACATCCGGTCAACTTTTCCAACTTAAACTTTCTCCTAAGAGACTAAGTGTCTCAATTTACTCCAAAACTACTCCAGACCCGAACCAACCCGGTGAGACATAATAAAGCAAAGAACACAAATAAAGCAGAGAAAAATAGGGGAATGGCTGTAACTTTTCAAACGACCGGCCGGGTCGTTACATTGAAACACACCAAAAACAAAGAGAAACAATAGAAGTTAGAGAGAGTAATCCACATATCGTAGTGTGTGAGATAAATAGTGAGTATGAGTATTATTGTATTGAGGTGTTTAAAATAAATAGTGTTATTTCTTTCGAAGTTGTAGTAGTCTCTTGACACTACCAAATTGTAATATTGTAGTGGTAATATTACTTCGTTCAGGTATTATATTTTACCCTGTTAAAAGATTTGGTATCGTTGTTACTCTCTTATGTTATTGTGATTTATCATGGATATTATTCCTGGGGGGGATATTATTTTTTCCAACAATGTGGTATCAGAGCCATGACGAGTAATGGTCCGCTGTCTTTTCAGTACCCCGTTTCACAAAACAAAAATTATGAGAAATGGTTTCTACGTATGAAAGTCATTCTTGGCTCCCAGGATGTGGGAAATCATAGACAAAGGGTATGCAAAACCCGATAATGAGGAAGCTCTGCCTCAAAATGAAAAAGAGATCTTGGCAAAAACGACGAAGAAGGATCAACAAGCCCTCACGTTTATTCATCAATGTTTGGATGATGCCATATTTGAGAAGGTGGCAGATACTACCACCTCAAAGGAAGCTTGGGAGATTTTACAAAATTCTTTCCAAGGAGTTGACAAGGTGAGGAAGGTAAAACTTCAAACTCTAAGGACTGATTTTGACGTTTTAAAAATGAAAGAATATTCCGAATGCATTTTGGATTATTGTTCAAAAGTGAATGCTATTGTGAATCAATTAAGAAGATACGGGGAGGACATAGAAAATGTCCGTGTGGTAGAAAAGATCTTTCGCACTTTAAAACCTAAATTTGATTTTGTGGTTATGCTATTGAGGAGTCTAAAGATTTAGACTCTATGATGGTGGAGCAATTAGAGGGTTGTTTACAGGCCCGTGAAGAAAAGATCAAAAGGAGACAAGAATTGCCATTGGAATAACTTCTTAAAACTTGGGCATCCTTCAAGGATTATGGAGGTAAAAAGAGCTATCGTGGGAACGAACGTGACGAGCACAAAACACACACTTAAATATGCTCTCTAGTCGGATATAGTATAATATAATATCGTATCTACAGGGATTGGAGTTAAACAGTATTTTCATAGTTTGTAGCTAGATTGCTATCAAAGATGATCAACAATTGAGAGTTTTTTATTACTATTGAAATTAACTAAGAACTTAGAGCTAATTGACTAATGACAATCGAATCAATGAATAAGCAAAGAAAGATATCAATGGGAGAAAGTAGGGTTTTGATAAGATCGGTGCAAGATAATTGTCTGGGATTCTAATTAATTCACGTCTAACATTCAAGTGAGTCTCTCAAATTCACTTAATTATTAGTTCAATTTAGTAGAAACTCCTCTCTCAATTAAGTCCCAAACTCACGAGATGAACCAATTTAAGCTCGGTGAAGATATGCACGAATGCATAGTGGATAGGTCTTTAGGAGAACCTCTCTCAATTATCCTCCTAACTAGGTTTAATCAACTATTCAACTAGCCTCTTTCTATTACTAAGAAGAATTAACGAACTCAACCAAAAATATAATGCAAAGATATCACAAGTTATGCCTCTCTCGATTACATGAATAAGTGAATATGGATGCAATGATTAAATCATCTAGAAATGCTTCAATACATAAAACTAGAGTTAATATCCACAAACAAATATCAATACACCAAATCCATCAAACCCTAAAGAGAACTACTCCATAGACATGGAGTAATTCATCACAAATATGATTAGAGTAAAGGAAAACATGAATTTAATCCAAACTCTTGTCTTGAGTGAGGAAGGAATGATGAAATCCTTGTGCTTTGGCTCCTCCAACTCTTCCTTAGCCTCCATAGGTCGATTGTGTGTCAAAAGTCCCATAAATAACGTTTTTACATTTATTTATACCAAGTAGCCTTGGGCCCAAACAAAAACACCTTCTCATAGCCGAAATAGGACATTTACTCTGTAAAATTTGTACAGGCGCGTCGCATGGGGAGACGCGCCATGCGGGGAAGCAGTGGAGTTTATCATGGAATGTGCAATTTGACAAGCAGCAGGAATTGGGCAGCCGCGGCGCCCCACGTGCCGCTCCATGCATCGCGGCTGTGGAAATATCTCAGAGTCTTCTGTTTTTCTTGCTTTTGATATCCAGGCTTGATCCTCGACCTCCGAACGCAATCCTGACTTAATCCTTTGGGATTTTACTCAGACTTCAAAGCTCCAAATAGCTCGAATTATCTCCATAACATCTACATCATTCGGAATCATTCCTACAAGGCATAAAACACGCAATAAGTACAAAACACTAGCGATTAAAGCTCAAACACAATTAAAGTGCAGTAAATTAAAGTGCAATAAGCGACTAAAATACGTAATTATTGCCTACCATCAACACCCCACACTTATACGATATCTCGTCCTCGAGCAATCAAACTACACTATATATAAACACGGCCTTTTTAGACAACTCTCCTAACTCATCATACCAAGAATATTTAAAATGGATTAAGAACAATAATGTAACATCTTCGCCTCAAGATTTGACTCACAAGTACCACGCATTTTTCACAACCCGCTCACTTACTCTAATATAGAGGTCAATGACATTACCTTTCTTTCATGAATCAAGTGCCCTCACTCAACAATTGAGAGTAGTTCCACACACAATAAAATTTAAGAACAATCAGGAACTCAAGATAGAAAGAATTCTCCCACTCTCAGAAACAACATTCATATGCCACAAAAGATGCACCATAGGCTTTGCCGTAGTGTACTACTCTACTAATTGAGATTATTCAGTCAACGATCAAGTAGGACTTTAATTGGTTGTAATGTAGGCTGCGAGACGGGTAGGATACATTTAGACATAAGAGTGACTACACCTCCCTAAGCACTTTAATACATACACATCAACATTCAAAACCACACACTTATGTCAAACTATAACTCCACCTTCAAATCAATATACATTAACTCCCTACTTCTTTAAGCACAATTACATGAAGAGTTACCACTATCAAAGAATATTTGAACCACAATACAACTATTTTTTCTTTTCTTTTTCAGTTCAAGTGGCTCTTACTTTTTCAATACATTGCACCTTTATCCTTATTTCAATAGTTCCACTCAAAAGCCAAACCAACACCCCTACACTTTAACTTTTACAAAGTTCATATCAAATTCAACTGCTCATGAGAGGTGAAAAGGTTCAAATAGACGGTCAATTCAAACAAATGGGTAAGGCTTGTAATGTGGCTGCCAAAGAAACAGGATTACCTGATCAAAGGGGTTAACTAAGATTCATAACAATTAGGTGTGTAAAACATATAACTGGCTTAACAAAGAAATGTCTATATCACTTCCAACTCCAAGACTGAACAAAACTACTATTTCGCTTGCAAACACACGGGACAAGTTCTAGACATCGAATGCGATGCACAGAATAACATAAAAACTCACACACACATGGCACATAACTCACTCAGGATTGGACTCATCGTGACACTCTAGTCAAAGCAGTTAAGTAAAGTTAAGATCATACCATTTACGGCACTTATACAAGAGTTAAAGACTGAGCCTAAGTGTCACAACTAAAGCACTCACTATTCTCAAGGCATAATAAAGTCAAGAGATATTGCTTCAATTCAAATCACAGCACAAGGTTTCCTACTTCTAATAAAATAAAAATTAACTACACCCGGTTCAAACAAACCCCTTGAAAAAGAACCGCGACACAAAGAAAAATCAAGGGGAATTAATACACTACCTAACAAAAGAAAATCTTTTTGTTATTTTTCCTTCGACTTTAATCCCACAAGAAACATGTCGAATGATATCCACCGTCGGAAAAAATCAAATATTTTAGAATTTTTATGTTTTTTTTTAAAAAAAATTTTCTCTATCTCTAACAACTCAAACTAACAAAAACAAACTACAACTAATGTACATACAACATACAAATATCCCCCACCCCACGCTTTAAGTTGTGGCATGTACCCATGACATACAATTAAAAAGCATAAGGTAAAGGAAACTTCCCCGAACATCTAGTCGGGGTCTGAATCAAAGTCGGGTTCCATTCCTCTCGCCCGAACTAGTGCACACATCCATGCAGACAACTTCTTCTCAGCCTTCTTGGGGTACACCCCACACTTGTCTTTCTCACTAACTACAACCTTCTCTTTCACTCCCTTCACCTTCTACTCAACACTTGCAGCTAGCTTCTCCTTTTTCACCCCCGTTTCTACATCCATCTTAAACGTCACAGTCTCATCACCCACTCTAAGCATGAGTTTTCTATCATGTATGTCTAATATTGCTCTACCCATTGCTAAGAATGGTCTTCCTAGGATTAGGGGTATCTCCTTATTCTCATCCATCTTCACCACTATAAAGTCTACAGGAAATACGAACTTATCTACCCGCACTAAGACATCTTCAATTATCCCCGCGGGTATCAAAGTCGTCTGGTATGGCAACTGCAAAGATATTTGTGCAGACCTTATCTCTCCAAGCTTATTCTCCAGTTTCCTATAAATAGACAAAGGCATAAAATTAATTGAGGCACCAGAATCACATAAAGATTTATCAAAGTTAAGAGTGCCTAAAGAGCAAGGTATAGTAAAACTTCCTGGGTCTCCGCACTTTTGTGGGAGTTTGTTTGTAAGATTGAACTGCAATGATCTGTGAACTTGACCACTGAGGTCTCTTCTATCTTCCTCTTCTTTGTCAGGATCTCCTTCAAGAGTTTGGCATAAGCTGGCATTTGTGAGAGCACTTTTGTGAATGGAAAATTTACGTTAACATGTTTCAGCATATCGAGAAATCTCTCAAACTGCTTGTGCAGCTTTTCTCTATATAGCTTTTGGGGAAAAGGTAGAGCAGGCATATGCTCGCTCTCAGTACGTTCCTCCCTTCTCGAAGTCTCTTCCTTCTTCTTTTTCTCAGCTCACTTCTTGCCTTTCTTCTTATTTTTAACTTCACTTTTCAGTTGCTCCCTACTTTCTTTTTCAGGTATCACCTCTTTTTGGATTGGAGTGGGATCTTTCAATACTTGGCCGCTTCTCAAGGTCACAACATTCTCCATTTCTTTGGGTTTCTTTTCAGTGTTAGCTGGCAAAGTACCTAGGATTCTCTCAGATAATATAATTGAAATTTTTCCCACAGTCTCTCCAAGTTTCGCAAACCTGTGCCAAGATCTTTGATGGCTACTCCATGAGCATCTAGCCTCTCATCTGTCTTGACAATAAAGGCCTTCATTAGATCTTCTAACCCAGACTGATTGGCCTGTTGAGGCTAAAACTGTGGCCTCTACTGATTTTGAAAGCCTGGAGCTCCTTCTCCTTGAAATCTAGGGTTGTTTTGTTGCCATGAATTTGCAGTACCCCCAGGTGAAATCCATGAAAAATTGGGGTGCTTCTGACCCATTGCATTGAAGTTATAATTTCCCACGGCATTAGCTTCCTCAATTGAGGCTTGACACTCATGATTTGGGTGTCCTCTTCCACATATATCATAAACTGCGTGAGGCTCATTGTGTATTGAGGCTAAGGTCAGCTTCCTTATTTCTTTGTCCATGGCATCAATTTGTATCTACACAGATGTGCTAGCATCAACTTGGTGAACACCAGTTGATCTTCTTCTTTCACCAATCTTAGAGGGCCACTGATTTGCATCTTCAAATAACTCATCTAGAATTGTGACTATCTCCTCTAGAGTCTTCTTCATCAACAGGCCTCCAGTTGCATTGCTCAATGTTCTACGTGAGGCCGGTGTGAATCCATCCCAAAAGTCTTAGAGTTGCATCCAGAGTTCGATTCCGCTATGTTGACACTTTCGCACTATCTTCTTATACTTCCCCCATGCTTCAAACAAAGTTTCAGTCGTGTTCTAACAGAAGTTGTGGATTTCTCTCTAAACTTGCCCATCTTAGATGATGAGAAATATTTATCAAGAGGTCATCTCATCCCATGTTCGAATCGATCCATTAGGCAAGCTTCGAAGCCAGTGCTTTGCATCATCTTTTAGTGTGAAGGGGAATGCCCTTAAGTAAAATGCATCTTGTGAACACCATTGTATTGAATGGTGTTCATAATCTCCTCGAAGTCCAGTACATGGTTTTTTGGATGTTCGTTTGGCTTCCCTCTGAAGACACAACAATTTTGAAGGGTTTGAGCAACCCTTGCTTCAACTCGAAATTATTAGTTGCAACTGGAGGTGGTCTCACACTTGATAATTCTTGGTTGTAGACAGGTCTAGCATAATCGCCAAGTGGTCTCCCAGCACCGAGAGCTATATTTCCGAACTGGTTTGGAACAAAAGGTTGATTCTGAGCAATTCTCCGAGCCCTCTCCTCATCATAGATAATCTGTGTATCTCTCAGAGCTGCTTCCTCAGCATCCCATGCAGCTTTTTCTCTTTGTTGAGCTGCCTCTTTTGCAACCAAATAAACATTATCATCATCTCCAGCCATAGTTTCTTTGGTTGAGGATTGCCCAACCTTCTCTATAATCTCGGGGAGATTGTCACGACCCAAACCGATAGGCCGCGACGGGCACCCGGTACCTTACTAAATTGAGTACCAACATAACGTATCTTTCATATCATTCTATCATAGGTAAATGAGCCGGAGTAAAGCATGAGGGAATACAAACTTATACATATGAAGTACGAGCCTATAAGACCAAATTAGCCACTCCTGTACTGAACATGGACCGACAAGGCCATAGAATCTTTTACGTACATGACATCTCTCTACAAGAATCTAAGAATACATAATTTCCATAAAGGTCGGGATAGAGTCCCGCCATACCAAAACAATACACGTCTAAATCATACTAATGAATCAAGCAACTCCAAAACAAATGGAGCACACCAACATCTTGAGTTGAGCTGATAGCCTACTTGGAGGGCTCTCGACCTATCTATCGGAACCTGCGGGCATGAAACACAGCGTCCCCAGGCAAAAAGGGACGTCAGTACAAATAATGTACCGAGTATGTAAGGCACATAAATAAGTACATAACAAACATGGAAGGAGTATAGAGTAAATAACTTAACCTGTAAGTCTGGATAATCCTGTAAATCATGAAATACTTATGGTGTCATGTATATGCGTATGAATGTCATGTCGTGCATAGGTTCATGTGTTCATAACATCATCAAGACTCTGAAGGCATCCCATCATATCTCTCGGTCACTGTGGGCAAATCATCAACGTATACCAGCTGATCAGGTGGTGGTGCGTATATAATGTCGTAACCTTTTCCCATATACCATATACATATATACGCGTATATAACGCCATCTGGTCATGGGTCAATGTACATGTATATGTGAATGCAATGCATGAGAAGTACGTCAATAAAATCTTTCGGAATGTCATAAGACCATTATGCCTTTGAATAATATCATGAAGTAAACTTTTTCAACATGCGTATTTTCTGAGACCCATGAACAGATGATATAATAATATGACACATGGGGAAATCAAGAATATAAGTATTTCTAGCATTTCTATGAATAGAGTCATTTATGGAAGTTGTACATTTGCTCGTTTCGTTTGCATCATATGGATCATGCCAAAAAGAAAGAAGGGATAACCTTAACATACTTGGAGTAGGGAAAATTCGTATAATATTTCTTGGAAAAGATTGCACCGTACTCCCTTAGAATCACAAACTCTCATGTGACTAATGTGCTAAAAAAATCGCATTGGTTGAAGAAATCACGTAGGAATTTGTAGTGTAAGAAATCACGTAAGAACTCACGTATGAATTTGGTTGAAGATTCTGTAGGAACTTTTGTTGAAGATGTTAGGAAACTTTGTAATTGGAGAGAATTCTAAGTTTTGAAAAGCTTTTGAATACATGTACTGATGGCCATTTCAAAGTTAGAGATCAATATAGACAAACAAGGTTGGTGATGAATCCAAGAATTTAACACTCATGAGTCATGACTAATACTCTAATAATGTGACACTTTTCCATGTACCATATGAGTCATTTAGTGGCTTTTTGACCACTTCATGGGCTGCCATGTGGGAGTGGGGTGGAAAATTTTAATTTTTATCCTTTTACTAGATAATTAGGTAATGTCCCATTGCGCGGTAATTAACCAATTACCCGCATAATTAAGAATTGTCTCAAATTATTTAAAATTCTACTTATTTTTAATACACTTTATACATCCTACTATCATGGTTATATGGTACCTTATGTGGTACTAGTCCATAAATATCGAGTATTATCGCCCGGCCCCTATTTTATCCGAACATGCCAAACTTGGACGAAAATTCATTTTCTTTGACTTGCTTCCCCTCTCACCTTCACGAATTTACTCATCACTTATTTGAAATAGCATAATCCTTATAATCTCCAAATAATTTTTTTCCTTGGACTGATGTCAATTACCTTACGACAAATTCAACATACAATACTACAGGACGTAATATTGCGAGGCGTAACATCATTCCCCTCTTTGGAACATTCGTCCTCGAAAGTTGGCTGATGCACTTATCATTCTCATAACCCATAGCTCTTGCGAATACTTTAACATTCTCCTTTCCATTTAGGCAACTGTTCTTTGAATAAATCCAAAGGCCGGCGCATTCCCCCTTTTAGACCTCTTTCCCACGCCATGATACTTGATCGAATTCCTTCTAATCTTGTAACTGTTGCTACCTCCTATCATGCAGCCTCTACGATACTGACCTTGTAAGTGTGCCTTTGTGACTCTTCTCTCCTTTTTCCTCCGACTTTTATCTAATCTCTAGGCCTTACTTTGTAAACATATACAACTTAATAGGATGCCTCTCGGGGCACCTATAGGGGTAATGAAGTTCTTTGCTCGATACTTTGTAGAACTTGCGAATATGGCTATATCTTATTTCATAGACCTGGTTATCCATTCGTATGACTTTACTGCATCTACGTAGGTCATACTATACCATAATTCTTACGTCGATTTATCGTTATTGAGGTCTACAACCAACTCCAAGTTACTCTCGTTGCTTATCCTTAAGACTGATGGTCTAATCTCATCTCATACTGTTGAACTTTTTATCCATCTAATGTTGATTCACCTTAATGTTGATCCATCATCTACCACTGATAACTTGCTCTCTTATGTAACACCGTCGCTAGGGTTCGCGTCTCATTGGGGCATCTGGAGTAATTAGATTGATCCACCTAGGGGTGATACTATACTTTCATAACCGTACTTTATAGCATCCCAATGTGATTCACCTTGTGTGGGTATTTTAATCATGTCCAATTCATGAGATCCCTTTCTTTTCTTTGTTAGATTATTACTCAATCGAATGCCCAAACGCCATCATTTATCTATCACAGTTATATTATTATTCTATTACCAGGGCAACATTCCATCTCTTCTAAATGCTACTAGTCTTAGACTCCTTTGAGTTCATTCAGATTATACTGAGCTTTCTATAACTTAGAGGAACCATCAGCTCCCTTGTTTTCACGGGCTTAATCCCGAGGATTTATCCATTTTCATCATTTCCTCACTTGCCCTTCTCTTATCCTTACTCCTGTCTTTTTTAAACCTTGTCGTTACATCATACTTTAGCTTGTGACTGATTTCCTTATGTTTTTCTGGAACATCGAGACATCACATCGTCTCTAAATCTTATTTCACTCTCTAGTTAGACCTTTTCGTACTTAGGAACCATAGGTTGGAAGGTATGCCACTGACGATGATGCTATCATTCCTAAATACTGAATCCCCGCGCTTCTAGCCCCTTTTCTGCAGCATGGACTATTCATAACCTTCTGTATTTGAGTATCTTGTATGTTGTTCACCTTTTCCTTACTTACCTTAATATATTGCCTCACATTATTCTATCTCTTTCATAACCTCCCTTCCACATAGGCATAATTTATCTCCACAACCTAAAGCTCTATTATAATACTTGCACCTTTGGTGCATACACAATCCGGTGGGAGCTTCATAATGACTTCTTATGAGGCTGGTACTCTTCAGTTGGCTTCATCGTAGAGCCGTTATGAAATATGGCTACTGTACTATCTCTCTTATACCTCTGCTACTTAAGAGTGATCCTGAGGCCTATAATTCTCTTGGTCCCTCCTAATTTGCTTAGTCGATGTAACTCTTTAGTTTCCTCTTTTTTCTGATCAGCCTTTATGTAGGCTTAAGCTATCTTCCGATCGGCGGCTCCTAGTATTAGTTATTACTTTAGCCTTTCATAGGCGCTGAGGGATATCCATGATAAAATCCTT